GCAGTAAAAAGGAGCCAAAGAGTAGCTGTACAAAGGCTGCAGAAAGAGTCAGAAGCCCGGAGGAGGGCAAAGGAGGTGAGGGGGTTGGGGCAGAAAGTGGAGATAAAAGAAGACGACAGAACATTGTTAAAGAGCAGGACGGGATGTGACAGGAGAAAATTCTAGAGAAGATACTGTTCCGTCGCTATCCGGATTCGGAATGAGAGACGAACACCTTAACCTCTAGACCACGAGAGCCCCATATGACGGTGTTGAACGATACATTAACAGATCAGAAACAACTGTGGGCCGGTTGTTCAGATGGTCGAAACCAAAGTTTTGAAATCGTTTTTGTTGTTGTTGTTTTTTTTAACTTTCAGTTTCTTACCTTTCTGTGGTTTTGGTTACGTGTTTTAGAGACGAATTTGGTGGGTACTCAATTCTAAATGTTGAGAAAGTGGGTGGTTGGCGGGTGCTCTGGTGTGGTTTACTCCTTCTTTCCTGTCAAACGTCTATCGTCCTTAACTCTCCTCCTCCTTTTTTGTGTTTGTTACTCTCTTGTAACACCTCTGATCTTCGGCACTTATATGAACTTATTGTGTTGCAAGTGCCATAAAACTCTTACTAAAACTAAAACAAATAAATGTTGAGAAAAAAAGGAAGAAAATAATATACACTATAGATACAACTGTTATAAAAGTGAAACTAGTTGGGTTGTCTTGTTTTTGTCTCTACTAAAAATAAAATATTTTAGCATTATGGGGTTGTGAAGAGGTTACCGAGGAAATGCATATTGCCAGTTGTAACGTCCCTATAATTTATAGTGCTGTCAAAAATTCGTGGCGCAACTTAATGTCAAATATTTCCTAAACTATCAAACATAGACGCTCCAGCTTTTACACTATGATTTGTATCAATTTGTCTTTACAGATCAATATTTTTGTAAACACCTGTTAGCTGTATTCTAGAAAATTCCTTAACAAATACTTTTTAAAAAATCCAAATGGGAGCTTTCTTCATATTTTAAATGGTTTACAGCTGAAGCAATTGCTTTTAAAAGCAAGTCTGTCATTTTTTTTTCTAATCACGACATTGTGTTTATTTAACTCATGTTTTGAGAACCTTTAGTTCAAAAAATGTGTTCACTACGAATTTATTTCTTGTAAGCAGTTTTGCCACTAAAAAGTGCCATTGGCGAGCTGTGACGTAAGCCATTTGCGTATACAAAATGTGTGTGAGAAGTGGGAAGTGCTGTGAACAATCCCATTTTCCGCGCGAGGGAGATTTATAGTATTTTATAATATATCAATTTATGAAGAAAAGTTGTCCAATATAGTCTCAATTGTTAGTTTAAAAAATATGAATATGTTAAGACAAATTGATACAAATTGCTGTGCAAAGTATGGTTGACATTGGTTCACCTGTTTAAGAGGTATTTTAGGATAAGTTGCGCCTCGAATTTTTGACCGCTCTATAGTTGTATGTTTCGTCTAAGAAACCGTTCCTTAGAATCAAAAGAGGTCATCTTTATGCTTGACCCCCCACTGACATGTCGACCCGGTCAGACAGAAGTTGCATTTTTTGTGTGCCTAAGGGAGGGGTTCGGGTGATTGAGAATGATTGATGAGAGCGGGAGGGGGTGCCCGGGGGGGGGAGAGAGTGGTAGGGCACGTCAAAGATTACTGTGACCAGTAACCGGTGTGTTTGTTCCTTCTTTTTTATTAAACATCCACCCCAGAAGCGGTGCTACTGACTGGAGTGTCTTTAGACAATTCCCAAAAGGGGGACATTAACTTTTTCTTATGCACCGTAAAATTTTAATGGAAATTTGTTTTTATATTGAAAAAAAAGTTGTTGGGCGAAAAAAAAACATTCCATAAAAATTGCCAGACTTGCAGAAAAATTGCCAATGTCTTTGATACGATGCCTCACATATTATAATAAATTTAGACTCAGATGTCTTGCATCTCAGGGATTTAAGAAGGTAGTACCAAACTGTGGAGCAAGGAGGGTAATGGATCTTTCTGCTAATGTGTATCTCCTTTCCTTGGACTCTAAAAAGATAACGATAGCCTGATCTAGGTGAAATATAAACTGAATTGTATCTAAGGGGGTGGAACAGTTTCGGGTCATTCTACACCCAGCAGTGCCCTGCGAACTTGGTCTGAATTCTTCCTTTTCACCGACTTTTTCTTTGGAACAATCTCTCTTCGGACGATGTCCTGAAGTGACCTCCACAATTATTCTGTAAAGAAATTTCAATCCATTAAACAAACCACAGAGTGAGTGCTTGGCGGGCGCTCTGGCGTGGTTTGCTCCTTCTTTCCTACCAGACATTTATTTATCGTCCTCATCTCTCCTCCTTCTTTTGTTTGTTGTTACACTCTAGAGACACCTCTTCTTGTCTTCGTGGGTGGCTAGTGGACGCCACTGGTAGGTCCCATTTCCTTACTTTCCCTCTGTTGTTTGTTTCTGTCTGTATGCCTTACTTTTCCCCTGCACTATATGACCATTATTGTGT